AAACCTTATTTAAAAACAAATTTTCTCTCATAAATTTGAAAATTTATTGAAGGAAAATTCAAAAATTAACTTTTAAAGCAACTTTTAAGTAAATTTTTAAAAAATTACATATTCAAATTTTCTCAACATTTACTTAGAAACTACTTTAAAAATTAATTTTTAAACTTTTTCCAAACAAAATTTTAAATTTATAAGAGAAAATTTTACTTTTTAAAGTAAATGCTTTTTAATCATTTCCAAACACCCTCTTCTACCATATATTTTTTTTTCTTTTCTTTATAACAATCTCCTTTATGTTTTTAACGAACAAAACTCAGGGCATTAATGCTTCACAATTCTTTCTCCACTTAATTTTGGATTTTTCTAACATATGTCATAAGGGTACAAATTCATGTACAATAATTATAATTTGTTATAATTAATTTACACAAAAAATAATAAAAATTAACTTTTATTTTAATGTTGTTATCACATAAATAATTTTAATTAATCAATTAATTAAATTTAAATTAATTTTTATCATTCTCTATACATTAATTATAAAATGATGCATTTATTGCACACCCTTAAAGCACAGGATAAAAAATTTCTATAATTTTTATAGTTAACAACTAATGTCTCTTCCTTTCCGTCACTAATTCCATATGCCATATGCATGTACAAGAATTGGGTAACCTGAGCAATGTGGAGGTGCTTATTTTGAGTCATAATAGCCTCAATGGAAGCTTACCAACGCAAGGTATTAAATGACGAACTCCTCCATTACAATCCCAAGGTTCAATTTAACTACTTTGCTCCTTCGAAAATCTAGATTGACACTACATACTGTTTTTGTTTATCTATTGATAGGTTTTACGAGACTAGAGATATTAGATTTGAGCTCAAATCAATTCATCGGGTCCATTCTTCCATCTATTGTGGCACTTCATTCTCTAAAGGCATTATCTCTATCTTTTAATCAATTTAACGACTCATTACCAAATCCTGGTACGTAAAAAATTAATTTATTCTTTTTCTTTCTTGCATTTGTGATGGCATGATTAAGACTAAGTCCAACAAGGGATACTACGTTAATCAATGTTCCGCAGGCTTTAGGCTGCTTCTTAAAAAAAAAATAAAGAAGGGACATATTCTCTAGGTCTGTCGAAATGGAATTGTTAATGGTTAAAATCCAATATATGTAGGTCCTAAATTCTAACCCATGTTTGGCCTAATTTAACTGAACTCACTACTCTAGACATATTTCATAGGCTGCCTTCGAAAGCTGAAAAAATAGCATGGCAATAAAAGCCTGAATGCCTAATAAGATAAAAGTACTTTGCAGATTGATATATATGTATTTGGTAATTTTTTTTTAGATT